GAGAAACCCGTAACACCTAAATCATTTTGAAAAGAAAGAAAATAAGTTGACTGTTGGTCAACCGTCTAAAGAACCGAACGTAAAGTTGAATTGATTTTTATTAAAAGGATAAACATATGCACGATCTAATCATTGAATTATTATGTTTATTCTTGTGCTACAATGGAGTGCCACTCAGCGTCAATGCTGAGCGGATAGCATTGTTTTCCTTTTTGCTGTCCGTAGGTGATCAGACAGATGAACCTAGAGCCGATCCCAGAGGGCATTGAGGAGGAGATGTACGATGGCGTGGCTGTCTCTTTAATCTGTTGATTATGCTTTATTTAATTAACTTTAATGCTTATTACGTTTTAGGGCAAGATCCCAAGTTGTTTGACTTTAAAAAGGCTTCCGCATTATTTTAAATTACTCCGATGGATTTTTATATGTATTGATAGAACGTTTGTCTAAAATTGTTTTTGAAAATGTTGTATATTCGGATACCAATCCAGTGGCACACCGGTCCGCTGTCTCACGGGTTTGGGTTATGCGGGTTGGGGTGTTACAATATAAACATGCTAACTTCTATAACATACACCTCAGAAGAAATGGTCGTACCTTCCTTCTTCTTGGTTGCGAGGTATGTCTTGCAGAGTCTTCTCCAGTGGCCTGCCTTACCACAGTGATGACATTTGCACTTTGCAACTCCTCCTATAGGTTTCTGGGTTGCAGATGAAGTGGACTTCGATTTAGGCTTTCCGACCGTCCTAGCCTTAATCTTAATCCCCTTCTTCGGCTTCCCCTTTCCGCCTTGGACCATAAGGACGGAAGCACCCTTGCCCTTAGTAAGGTTCTCTTCTGCAGTCTGGAGCATTTTAAGAAGCTCCGAAAGGGGTTTGTCAAGATCATGCATCATGTAGTTCATGACAAAACCCTTATACAGCTCAGGGAGCGACTGCAGGATCAGGTCCGTTGCCAGCTCCTTCTGCAAGGAGAACCCGAGTTTCTCCAGATTAGTTATGTAACCAATCATTTTGAGAACGTGCGGACCGACCGGGTTCCCTGAAGAGAGCTTGCAACTAAAGAGAGCCTTACTCACGAGAAAACGTTCATGCCTGGATTGCCCCTGGTATAGCTGCTGCAAGGCCACGATCATCTCGTGGGCCTTCATGTCCTCGTGCTGTTTTTGCAGCTCGGTTACCATGGTAGCCAGCATGACACAGCTAACCTGGTTGTCATCCTTAACGTGTTTCTCGTAGGCATCTTTGACCGCTTTCGGGGCGTTAGCGGGAGGGGCAGGAGGAATGGGCTTTTCGAGCACATACTCTTTCTCATCCATGCGGAGAACAATG